AAAAATGGGGAAACGATGAGCACTCCTTCTTGGAATGCCGATTCAGATGTCTTGATGAATTATGTTCGATTATATTCAAGATTCTATGAACATTTCAAGGTCTTATATTTCTCCAAAAGCCCAAACTTCCCTATTCATTTTTGGGGGACATCCAGACACTATCAGCTCATCCCACAGCTTCCCTTGTCGGAAAAACCGCACCGATCACAGGACTAACAACAGGCGTAGGGCACCAAAGCCGCAATGAAATCCCCCACTCTAAGCGCAAAGACTCATTCTCGGTGTGCGTCCCATAGAGAGGGAAGGAGTAGACTAAAACTCCTATTTAAACGAAGACAAGGAGGCAAGTCCGAGGTAATTCTTCAGCTGATTCTGATGCATTTGTCCAATTAGCACTCCATCGAGAAATTCATTCAGGGGGTGATGTCTATTCTGGGTCTTCAACGTCGATATCTTATCATCATCCTAAATTCTAAATCCAGGCAGCTGAAAACTGGAAAATGGCGCTGCAAGTCAACGTCATATCGACGACGTATCTACAGATTTTATGTCTTCTCAGGCTTACCGAAATACATCGATGAACCGACAAAGCTGCACATCACGAGTTCGTGACCACTAAACCCAGGGTGACGTTAATGAGAAGAGTGTCCTGATGGTCCGAGTATTCTCAACGGGTGAATGATCCAGAATATCCTGGCTTCACCGGATACATAGTAGAATCGCAACGTGAATGCGTCTGCGTTCTTATTATTGGAGGATAGCTCTGCAGTTAGGGAAGTAGGCGCGACATGCTTTCCATATTAGAAGCAGGAAAGGGGTTAAATTGAACAGGCACTGCAGGGAGAAATAACCTTTCCGTATTGATGAAGAATTCAGATATCATACAATTTCTTCATGGATGAGGAATACTTGTATACGAACGGTTTTGAGAATAGGCTTAGTGCACTAAATATAGCAAGCCCTTCCACTTCAATGAGTAATTATGCCACCAATTCGCAATAAAAATGCTTCAGATTCTCTAGAAAGAGAGGAAAGACTTGAACTCGCAATAAAAGAATATCGTATGTCAGAGAGATAGAATCTGTGAAAATGATGCAGAGATTCAAATATCGATATCAGTTCACATTAAACTGAATGAAAAGAGAAAAGAAATAACTATAATTAGGATGTGTTTTGCATAGCATTACATCAGACTCATAACTATGATGAAAGTCTGAATGTAGCAGGCATAAGATAGTAATATTCATAATGACTAGCTAATCTATCTGATTAGAACAACTGAAGAAGAAGAAGAAGAAGAAGAAGAGAAAAACAGCAAGAAAAGAATGAAATATATACATACATGTATTGGTGTATGTGAGTCATAAGTGAGTCATAAGAGTGATATGGCTGTAGCAGTAGATCTGAGTCATAGCTGCGATATAGGATATACAAGCATATACAAGCAATATGATGATCATGATATATGAGTGATATAATAATTGTGACAATGGTTCATCAACGGAAAGTTCAGATAAGTTCTAACCTTATTTAAGCTTATTTCGCTTTAGGTTTGTGGTACTCACCCTCCTGCTCCACTCATATTATTCACTGGTCTCACAACTTCTCTAGCCTTACTAAAAGGTAAAATGAAGTTTTCCTATTCAGTTGATTTTCCTAATAATATTCATCATATATATACATCTCATGCAGCTGTTACAGCTTATTGTGCTCAGTTCATATCTCAAAATGTGCATTTACTCCATATTGTGCAAGAGAACGTTAGCTGTGACAATCTACTCACTCATGCAGATGACCCATTCTTGGGTTCAATAATTCTATACCAATTCTAACATGCGACAAGATGTAGTGATTCATAAATAAGATGCCTAATGTCAATTCTAGAAGTTGACGAATACTCCTACAGTGGGCACCATTATGTGAAGGAAGATCGATGTCTGCGAGAATCAAATATACCTCAAAGTGCAAAACCAAAGAAATCCATGGGCATTTCTGGTTGAAACAAATGTGATACCCGAGTTGCTATTCACTCTTACGGACAAGAGGAAAAACTGAGACCCAGACTTTTAATGCCTATTATCTTCTACTGAGGTGATTTATGACGACCAATTGTATAGCCCGTCAAACCGTTGTTACCAAGCCACCCAGAGTCACCTGTTTCGGAAGAGGAAAATCGTCTAGTTCGAGATGTTACATCACATATCCATATAAGCACATCCCTCCTGCTACATTTCCTCGTCCACATCAATACCCCACTTTGCCCTTCCCATGACCTCGGTACACTGCGGGGGACCGGAAAGCGTAAAAGACAGCGACGTATCCCATTCTTTCGAAAATCACAAATATCCTCATGCATGGAGCCGAGAAACGTGGCATGAGGGGAGGGCAAAACAGAATGTCTTCGCTAATAATTCAGTAATAACAATATCAAGTTCTCCGTCTGCTGCACCAAAGGTTACGAATGGCTTTATTGAAGCCCTGACCACCAACTGATGCACCTTTTCACCCGGAAATTCTGCATTGTAGAAACAAAGCACTTGGAATTGTACCTGATTAGTGCATCAAGATGAGCGAGAATGAAAAGGCTTTTCCAGACATCAAGTGCCACAACCCCGCATTTGAAAATCAACCGGAAACGTGGGGTACGTATACGCTAAACCATCCCACATTGAATATCCTAAAAACCGTTCAGTTGAAATTTGACTCTACTTTTGACATTTATGTAGGCTTAAGTGGGAGTGCTTCTGTAACAAGCCAATCACCCCCTGTTCCATTTGCACCCCACTTCAAGGAGAGATGATACGAACATGTCTTTCAAGTGAAAATCAAAGATGGTGAAGATAAAAATGCTGAATTGTACACCTGAGAATAATAATCAGTGGATATATGCAGTGCACAGCTGCAATTTTAGGAGCAGAGTCCACGTTTGTTGAGCAGCAGGGGCATTTCGAACAGATCCACCTCCAGGGACATCAGGAAGCACCTAACAACAGAAAGGGAAATCGGTAAGCGAAGAATTAAAAAAATAAGTCCCCCATGACTATGTATTTTAAAACAGCTGTATTCGGTGTTCAAGCCATCAGGTCGCAGCTGCAGAGATCAGGTACAACGCCATACAACGCATTTAGATCCTGCTCCATGCCTTGGGCGTAAAACATTTGTAAAACCCCAATCTAAGCAATAAAAAATCAAAAAGGTGGAGGCCGCCCCACATACGATAACAGTGCAATTGCTAAGAGGAAGGTCTGCCTTGCCTAGACATACAGGTAGCACGTTCACGGTCTCTCGAGCATTGCTTGACTTGGCAAGTACGCATTGACCTCTTGCTTCATTTATCCACTTTCAACAGGGATGGGGATTTCATCCATACTGTATCAGCACTCAGTTCTCTTCAAAATCCTGCGGAGCTTGCGTCGAGATCCATTTCTCCATTAATGCTTGACTGGCAGATGCTGAATCAAGTTTCTGCCTCGCCCTGTCCCCTTTACGGGTTATAAGGAGACACAATATCTTTCCCCGTATCGTGAAGCCTCTATACCTCGTGGTGAGACCTAATTTCTTGCCGTCTTCGATTATGTCTGAAGAAGGTTCAGTACTGGCCTTCTTCCGTTTCGCAACACGAGTATCTTGGGAATCGCTAATATTTCCCCTATCATAACTAGTTTCCGTACGGTTCCGTTGGCATTGTCGATGTTGGTTCGATGATTGGATGCCTTCTATATTTGAGGTGGAGGGTATTGCTGTGGGTATATCCTGCAGGTTGATTGTAGACTCGCTTTCACCCTCAGGAATAATACTTGGTACAGAAACGGGGCCATAAGCGATGGGGATCCGAGCGTGTTCCATCCCAATCAGTTCATTCGAATTGCTCTGGACTTTGGATGTTTGGTTGTTGAACGATTTATCTTTTGTAACGATTGAATGGCTGGTGCCTCCATCACGGAGGAAAATGGACACCTCGAAATCATCTGCTCTTACCTATTAACATGGGTAGCACACTCAAAGGGGGATACTGCACAGGCAATAATATCGCACCTTCTGAGAGAACGTCCTTCACGGGTTTTAACTTCTTTTTGGCTCGAGCTCGGGCGTCCTCCTCTCGGAGCTTGGGTAAGATCAGTGGCCGTATACTATTGAAGACGCGGGGCAGGGCTGGGTCGCGGGCATCAAGCAGCCAGCGTGAATCTGTGGGGTTTTCAAGATATACCCTACATTCCAGGACAGAGTATTTGCTGATGCGAAGGTAGCGTCTGATTGGAGGCATCGCAGATAGGTGAGTAGGTTTTCCTCAACCAGCAGCTTCAATCAGCTCCCACCCCTGAAACAAACGTAGATGTAGATCAAAGGCGAGTAATGACTATGGTAAGGCAATTATATTTTAAGATCCTCCTGAGCACCGTCACCACAGACTCTTGTTGCTTGTATTGGTTTCAATGATATGATGTTGTAATGCTTCCAGGGAGAGTCCACGAGTGACGCGTTAGCACGTGATCATAAAGCTATGACTATAAGCCCGATCAGAAAGCGTTATTCCAAGTAACATCCAACTACAGACAACAGAAGCTCCCAAAGGTCATTATTATTCTATCTCTGGAACGGCGGTAGAATTAGCACCTTAAAGACATATCATAATCATATTGTTGTGTATTGCCATCCTCCGCGGTTGAACGAACAACCTTGTTGAACGATTTTTTCCAAGATTGGTTAGATGCTGGTATAAACGGCCATGAGCTTGAACAGTCTCTCAATTCTATCCTAGTGTTATATATACGTGCATAGGGTGGGACGTAAGTTGTTCTTGGGTAGTGTGAAACAGGGCTCGCGAATTGAAAACGGTATTCCGGAACTGGAGAAGAGGCAACTTGCAGCTGAACTTGTGGACAAGTACATAACGACAGAAGCTTCGCAATCTACGGCGCAAACAACCCTGGGACGCTGGAAAACACCACCCAAGGGACTGGGATTAAGACGTGAAATAGAAGGATAAAAAGTGTAGGGAAATGGTTTTCGAACTACATATTTGGGGTCCGGCATTTGGTCTGCCTTCAATTGATCCGCAATGTATTGCTATGGTTGCTTATTTTACCCTCGCCGTTCCGGCGAAGAATAGAAGTTCGGGCGAGGATCGGGAGCAATGGGTGTTGGTGGCAGATAGTGACCCAGGAATGGTTCCAACAAGTGAGTACAGTCTATCATTGCTTTTCCCTGTTCCCATTATTGCCATTCCATCTCAATTATTATAGCGGGTGTGAGTTGCATAGGATTAAGTGTAGCTATGGCTTCTGTATGGATTTTACTGGTAGCCATTACATTGATCAAATGAAGACTGATAAATGCTCTGTGTACAGATGAATTACCAGCATTATGGACGGGAATAAGGTGGATCAGCAGGTTTAGAAATATCGTAGCATATCTAAATCAATACTCTGATGGAGAATGGGACTTGGATCGAGGAATGGGCCATAAAGAGAGGGCAGATTGCATTGCGTAAGTTTGAGCTCTGATTATTTCCAACGTTGCTATGAATTCCCCAATAATGGAATATAGGACGGGAACCACTAACATATAATCATGGCAGGTTCTCCTCTTTTCTGGAATCCCAAGGGCAACCCCTGATAGATCTCTCCTTATATGTATCGAGTGAGAACTATAACAAATCCACCTCATTAGCCTATGCTTCTCTCCTTCAATGGCCCAACCAATGGATAATTCCGCCACGGATTCGATCGGTTGCTAAGAAACGGACGGAACATCTTGGTCTTACATCCCTTGACCTCGATGTGATAGTGGAAGAGGAGAGACAACAGACTCGTGATCCTTCTAATATAGCAAGCAAGATCCCCAAAAGCCTTGTCCGGAAGCACCAGGCGACAGTGAGTGACCTGTTAAGCAAATCGTCAAAACAAAATCGGATCCGGCTTGACGGGATAACGGGGGCATTTGTGGCACCCCTCGAGGAGCTTCTGGGACGGAAGGGGTACCTCCTGTCGTCTGAAATTCCATCAAGCCTAGATTGTCTGGCATTGGGCTATCTATCGCTGGCCCTGGTTCCTAAACTCCCATATGCGTGGCTGAGAGATGCAGCCACAGCACATGCTCCGCGGCTGGCAGCATATGCGGGTCAATTGCGGTCACGATGTTTTGGCTCAGTGCCAGTAGATGTCTCGGTGGCATTTACAGATACTCCAACGCTGGCGTCCAGTCTCCCATGGCGAGCTCCGGAGCAGGTTAGCCTGGAAGCAGTGGGGAAGCGGGCGCTGGAAGGGATAGCAGATTCCATCCCGATTGTGTGTCATATACGAGCCATCAAGAGATTGCAGCGGGCGTGCGCGGAGACTGGGGCAGAATGGGAGGAACGGGAGTTAGTGGAGAAGGTGACCACGGCACAGCGGCGAGAGCTGTATGTGTCGATAGCTACTGTGCTGGCTGGGTTGGGGATGTTTGTGGGATATGTGCTGCATACGGGACTAGCTCAGATCGAAGTTGTTGGCGAAGGGGATGAAGAGGGTGAAGGGGTTGAAGACGACGAAGAGGGTCAAGGGGGAGAAGAGGAGGAAGGGGAGCCGAAGGGACAAGCTCAGAGGAAGCAGAGGCCAGCGAATAGCGTCCAAAAGCAAAAGCATGCATCGCCGTTAGGGGAAGCAGGTGCAATACTAGGGATCTAAATTTGATGATCCTCTTCCTTCTTTCTACCTTTCCCTTTTCTTCCTTTACCTCTTGTTATTGCTATGGATCACTCTTATTTTCTTGAAGTTTCTAACATTATCAGCTGTGCATGGAACAATCAGCATCTAACTTTCTTTCTCTCCCCTATTTTCTCTCGTCTGTATCATCATCAATCACCATATTGCTCATCCAGTGCGACTAGTTATATACATCATCATCATCATCGTTTTATTATAATTATTATGATATATAACTCTCATCTATCTAGAGCGACTCCCTGAAAGCTGCTGGGCACTTTCAAATTCCAACAGACTTTTTGGAAACGCATGGGTGACTAAGCAGACCAACCGGTTCGGGAGGCCAAAGCGGCGGCTAAGTCAGCTGGCCCCCACTTCCGAGACTGAGCCAAGGTTTCCAAAGTCTGCCCGCAAGGTCCCCGAAATTCCACCATTTTGTTTGCCCTTCATTCCCTCAAGGTCCCCGCCGCAGAACGAGGGATGAGCGGGTAAAGGCCGAGTCTGTCCAACAGAGGAATTTACGTGCATCAGAGTGGCGGGTCTTTTTTGCGGGGGTTTTGGCGGAAAGCATTAGTGCGGTCATCTTTCCTTTAGCTGGCAGGCGACAAGACTCGGAGAATATCTTCCAAGGTTGCTTAACTACTACTTAGCATTTAACTGCACACAAAATCTGCAAGCTACACATATATATATCATACTTTTACTCTCTGCGTCATATACATATATACATATATATATATATATGTTCTGCACCTGTGCATATATATTTTATCTATCTAAACCTTGGTCATAGTCTGAATTTTCCTATTGAACCCTTCCTGCCTCCCTGCCTCAATTCTTTCTCATCTCGTCTAAAGTGAAACGTTCTTCTTTAATTTTCTTGGAAAACGTGACTGTGCTAATGTGAATCTCTGGCCCTCCATTGCTGCTTCTCTTTCTGGATTATCGTTCAACCTTCCTCCTGAATCCAAGTGCGGCTCTGCGCTGCTTTCCCCCAAAGCCCTAATTGCCTGCCCTAAATGTGCCCAGTTATACTTACCTACGCCTCAGCAAATTTGCCAGCTTTGGGTATCTGATCTCGATCTTCAATCGGTCATTGTCAACGTCAGCTTCGGCTTCCAACGGTCAATATACAGATCCAGATTTATACTAAGTTCTTCCCGCCGCCGCGCTGCTTCATTACCATTCATCCCTCCCGTTTGCCGTTTGTGTTCATCCGCGATGATGGGTACCTACTCCCATTTCACAACCCTTCTCCTCCGCCGTGATGAACAGGAGAATTCTCCAGGCGCTTGTGCCACTGGCAATGAGTATGATGGCCATCTAAATCTGCGACTATCCGCTGTGTTCGTCATCCTAATCGGATCTTCTATCGGTGCCTTGTTCCCCGTTTGGGCTCGTCCTGGCCGCACAAACGCTAGCAAAGGACGGCGTGTGGATGTTCCTCCCTGGGCCTTTTTTGTTGCGAAGTACTTCGGTTCCGGGGTAATTGTGGCCACAGCTTTCATCCATCTCCTCGCCCCAGCCCATGAAGCTCTCTCCAATCCATGTCTTACCGGCCCTGTTACCGAATATCCCTGGGTCGAGGGTATCATGCTTATGACGATTGTTTTACTCTTTTTCATCGAGCTCATGGCGATGCGATATGCACGATTTGGCGAAGCAGATATTGCCAAGGAACTTGAAAACGGTGCCTGGGATATGGGCCACGGACATAGCCACGACCATGGCCATAGTAACGGCAAAATCCTTGCCCCAAACCATACCCATACCCATACCCATGACCATGATTCCGTGAACTCTGATGTAAACACCAATTTCCCGGGTGAGAACCACCTGGGACATGCGCGACACCACCTTACCGACGCAGTTTCTAAAAAGAACTGCCATTCCTTCGTGGGGAAAACAGCCGCAGACTCCAAGAACCACGGTCCACCAGATCACACTCACGGCCATATGTCCCTCGTCGAAGACTACAGCGCGCAATTGACATCCATCTTCATTCTCGAATTCGGCATAATCTTCCACTCAGTCTTCATCGGCCTCACCCTCGCCGTAGCCGGCAAAGAATTCATAACCCTCTATATCGTGCTCGTTTTCCATCAGACCTTCGAAGGCCTGGGACTGGGTGCCCGTCTCGCCACTGTCCCCTGGCCGGGCTCCAAACGCCTTACCCCTTACATCCTCGCCATCGCCTTCGGCCTGTCCACCCCTGTCGCCATTGCAATTGGCCTGGGTGTCCACGAGACTTATCCCCCCGAGAGCCAGACATCTTTGATAGTAAATGGCGTGTTCGATTCAATATCAGCTGGTATCCTGATCTACACCGCCTTGGTGGAACTGATGGCTCATGAGTTTATGTTTAGTACCACCATGCGGCGTGCCTCGATTAGAACAGTGCTGGCAGCGTTTGCTCTGCTCTGCTTGGGCGCGGCGCTGATGGCCTTGTTGGGGAAATGGGCCTAATTTTGATCTGGCTACTTATTTGGTCGAATGACCATATCATATATAAAACGGCCTCGTTTTCTTCTTCTTTTTCTTCTCCTTCCCTGTTGCCTGATTTTGATCTTGGGACTATATAACCGGGACCTCGCTGGCTATTTATTTTAAATAATTGTTTTATTTTAAGTTTTGTTTGTTTTTGTTTGGTTTTGGTTTGGATCTAAAAAAGATGGGGGCGTTCGCGATTTGATATCTAATACTTTTCGAAGTCTTTTTTTTTTAACCCTTTCAGGTTTCCTTTGCCTCCATTTACTCTCCAGGATGTTTATTTCTCAAGGTAATTCTTGTCATCATCTCCCTTTCCCATCTTACAGAATTTGGCATATACTCCGTACTAGATGCTATGTATTGCTATGCAGTTTGTTTATTGTATAATTTGTTTGTTAGAACATAGAAACATAAACCAAAAGAACATTGGGAGTTGCTTACTTTTGTCCAGAGTTTTATCAATCAGCAAACGGTGTACATAAACTGTCTCTTGAAGAACTAGTTTAATCTCTTATGCAGTAAGTACAGAGACAACAAACTTCCTTTCAAGTAGAGATACTGGTAATACCTCGAGACCGCTTTTTCTTTCTCCGAGTCCCGAGTAGTCTGGCCCCCGAGTCCTCGTAAGATTATACAGAAACGTAAAACTATATAACGAAATACTAAGCTTGATGGGATGAAAGGGGGTGCTGATGCCTGGATTAAAACCATGGTCGTTTGGTCACGTGATGTGGATTAGGCCTAATCGGGCGACGAGCTTAATCCGACATCGAGTCTAACCGGGCAGCGGGCCTCGGTCGGGCTCGGTCGGGGCGCTGAGCCTAACATTTATTACTAAATGAGCTGTACTACTAAACAAGCTGTGTTTTTGCAATACACTACAATTTAATTTTTCAACTTTCACTGCTGTGAGATGTAAAATGAAGAAGCTATTCAACTTGCAATTAAGAATTTAAGAGTTTAAAAGATCAAAAATAAACACTGCAACTGCTAAAAAGCACATAATATAAGGGGTTGAACCCCTAGATTCACTCTGGCCGGCTGACTCAGCCTAGCCATCATTTGCATGTGCACATGTGATCATGCTATGTGAGCTTGCTTAAGCTTGAGCTCTCATCTCATTCTTTTCTTCTCTTTCTCAAGCAATTCATCCTTGTTATATAGGAGGACTAGCCTCTAGTTCTTAGAGCTTAACCCTTTACATTATGAATTGCTTGACTTCTTTCATTGATAGGCCACTGAGAGTCTTAATTGTGTATCATGAAGCTCAGCAAATGTATTGACATATAATAGACTATTGAGAGCCTTAAATCCTGCATCATGAAGTCCAGTGATAGCACTGGTATATAAATAGACTGGGTTAGCAATTGTGCTAATGAACAAACAAGCAATATTGAAAACATCAAGCTGAATGAGATAAAGCAGCAGACTTGTACAATGAATACATAAATGAATTAATATGAAGCAATGAGCAGAGACACCTTCAGCAGCTTTGAACAACAATGAATGATCTTTCTTCAACAGTAGAAACAGATTTAGCATGAGAACAGGAATTTAATAGCAGCTCAGCAGGCTGAAATAGTCAATCTATATCAAGCTTTGAACACTCTGACATCAACTCTCTCTCAATTAAACTTGCAATCACTCATTACAGTCAGAAGATTAAAAATCAAGCTACTGAACTATAAGAAGTATAATAGTTCTAATCTGAAGCACTACTCTCAGTGAAAGCTAAAGTTTCAATCAAAGCTTAAGATCAATGAAAAGGCTTTAAACAATAATGAGAAATGTGCTTGATATATGTACTTAAGACTGGATGAAATAACAGCAGCTTGAGTTTATCTCTAAGTTGAGAATAATAAGAACAAAATCAACTTCACAGTAGAGAACTTACTGAAGCAGACATACATGCTCTTTAGTGATCTCACATGATATAAAAAGACTATGCAAAAGCTAAACAATCTATAACAGAGTAGAAGAGCTCTCTTTGACTTCCTGTCTGAATTTAATCAGTTACTGCTAGAAGCTGACAGTCACAGATGAGATGATCATGTTAAAAAAAGATATTTAAAATCTGCTCTAAGCATGAAGCTGAGAGAAGGCATGATGGGTGTAAGAAAACTGTCTCTCTATGAGAATTACTGCAAGAAGCTTAGATTAGTTGATCATCAACTTTCTGAGCTTAAGACTTTAAGACAGTGATCTAAATATTACAAAGACAGATCTTCTTCAGATCATACAATATCTATTTCACATTTTCTACTTCATCATGATGTTTTTAATCAACAACATCAGTCTCAAGCTTCTACTGATGATCTGATGAATCTTTCTTCTGATGCTGTGATCTCAAGCACTCATTATACTAAATTGATAAATCAGATAGAGATTAATCAAAGAAGAGAGCAATGTCTATATCTGAGATGCAGAGCAAGAGATCATATGATTAATAGCTGTCTGTTCAAATCTCCCAGATACTCTGCCACTCTCACAATAGCTAAGATGATCTCTGAGCTGGTACTGAACAATGATGATGTGAATATGAGTAAGAATTCAGGTAAAAAAGTAGCTTCAATGAAAAGATACTGAAAGAGGTAAAATAAGAAGCTTATGAAGAAGTAATGGAGAAGATTTAAATTTAAGATGATATTCAAACCCTTCACTGTCAATGCTCTAGTAGATAATGCTCTTTCAACTATAGCAATAATAGACAGTGAATGTAATGTCTATGGTTTTATTTTTTAATCTTACATTAACAAGCATAAGCTCTCATGCATTGAAATTCCTTCTGTTAAAATGACTGGCTTTGAAGACTTCATGAGACTCTCCATGAGCATAGTGACTGGCATTTGAATTGATATAGATGATCACATAACTGAATGGACCTTTCTCTACATGGTGAATGAGTTACATGGTCATGAATATGTATCTAGGTGACCCCTGGCTGGCCCAGCAAAAGGTGACTGTGATCCCTCATCAAAGAATTGTGAGATTTGAAGAGAGTAGCATAAAGATAGAGTCTAGTTCATATGTAAAAGCTGATATGATTTCCATCTTTGCTGTAAGCTTCTCTAAGCTTGTGAGCATTTGAGAGAAGTGAAACATTGAAATCTTCACTGTCAGTTTGACTGACATTCAAAAAACTTTAGAAGTGAAATCAAAGATTGACATAAGAGAAAAGCTGCCTGAACACTATCATGAGTTTTTGAATATATTTGATAAGAAAGCTGCTGACACTCTACCTCCACTTCATGACTCAGATAGAGATCATGGAATTAAACTGATTAAAAAGACTGATGATAGTACAGAACAATCTCCTTGAGGCTCACTATATAATATGTCTCAAGAGAAACTACCGGCTTTGTGAAAGACTCTTATAGATTATCTAGATAAGGGTTTTATTAGAGTGAGCAACTTCTCTGCAGCTATCTCAATACTATTCATGAAGAATTCTGAAGGTGGATTAAGATTCTGTGTGAGCTATTGAGCTCTTAACAAAATTATCTGAAAGATTTAATATTTTCTATCATTAATCAGTGAGACTCTACAGCAAATTGAATAGGCTAAATGATTCACTAAGCTGGATATTATTGCAGCTTTTCATAAGATTTGAATCATGAAAGGTGATGAGTGAATAATGGCCTTTAGAATCAGATATAGGCTATTTGAGTAGCTGGTTACACTCTTTGATTTGATCAATGCTCTGAGCATGTTTCAAAAATATATCAACTGAGCATTATATAGATATCTGGATGACTTCTGCTTAGTCTATTTAGATGACATCTTGATATTTTCCTCAAGAAGCTTACAGGAGCATAGTGAGCATGTATAAAAGATGCTTATATATCTATGAGAAGCAGGCCTACAGGCAGACATCAGAAAGAGTGAGTTTGAGATGATCAGTATGAAATATCTTGAATTCATTTTTGTAGCAGACAAGGATATACAAATGAATTTGAAAAAGATTAAAGCTGTTTTGAAATGAGCAACACCTACTACTCTTAAAGATGTATGAGAATTTTTAGACTTTGTCAATTTCTATAGATGATTTATCAGAGATTTCTCAAAGATCATGACCCTGCTGATGATTTTTACACATAAGAATGTTTCTTTTTTGTGGATGAGCAAGACTGAGGAAGCTTATAAATGTTTAAAATCAATGTTTATCTCTGCTCTGATCTTGCTTCAATTCAACACTGACTGTGAGACTATATTGAAAATGAACTTCTTAGATTATATCTCAGAAGAAGTGCTGCTACAATATAATAAGCAGAGCATTTTACATCTATATATCTTTTTCTCTCATAAGTATTTATCTGTGAAATGCAACTACAAGATTCATAATAAGAAATTATTAGCAATAATTGAGTGTTTAAAGAAATGGAACACTGAGCTATGAAGAGTAAAGAAATTAAAAATTCTTACAGATCATAAGAATCTAGAATACTTCATGACGACAAATAGACTAAATGAAAGATAGTTATGTTAAATGGATATTCTCTATCAATTCAACTTCAGAATTGATTATTGGTCAGAGAAGTTGAATGCTGAATCAGACACTCTATCATGAAGAGAGCAGAACACATTACAGAGTGCTGATGATGAGAAAGTCAAGCAGAGGCAAGCTCAACTACTTAAGTTTAATGTATTGGCATCTGGAATGGAATCAATATTGACTGCTGCCAGTGTGGAATCTGAAATATCTCTTCAAGCTCAGTGAAATGAGATCTGCAAAAATGATAAGATTCTGCAGCATCTGAAGTAAACTTTTCATGAGAGAAGATTCAGATGTTCTTCTGAACTTAGCATTAAGACCTTTGTCTCTGAGTGCTCTTTAAATGAGAATGAGGAGCTTCTCTTTCAAGATTGTAAGTAAGTGCCAGACTTTGAACCTTTTCAAATCAGATTAGTGCATGAGACTCATGACTCATCTCTTATCAGTCACTCTAGATAAGAGCAAACAGCAGAAGTTTTAAGATGTGAGTTCTACTGGCCAGACTATGCTGCTGATATGAGAAGAATGATCAGAAACTGTCATCTTTGCAGATTAAACATCACATAAAGAGATTAACATCAGAGACTACTTAAGCCTCTCTTTATTTCTGAACATATGTGGCAGGAGCTTTTCATAGACTTTATCATGAACTTATTGAGCTCTAAAAAATACATAAACATTATAGTTATAATGAACAGACTGATTAATAGAGTTATATTAAAAGCAGTTAAGAAAACTGATGCAGAGACAGTGACTAGAGTATTTCTTCATAACATCATTTCTCAACATAGTATCTCTAAAGTGATAGTGTCAGATTGAGAGTCAGCTTTTACAAGCATGTTTTGAACTCAAATGTATGAGAAATTAGACATTAAGAGATGACTCTTCACAGTCTATCACTCAGAGACTGACAGAGTTACAGACTGAATGAATCAGACTCTGGAAATCTATCTATGCAAGTACATTAGCTTTCAATAGAATGACTGGTGTGAATGACTTTCTCTGACAGAGCTGATCATCAATAATAGAGATGCTGTCTCAACAGATGTGAGCTCATTTTTTTTAATACAACTTTTTTATATCTTCTTCATTGATATAGCTGATGCATCTCTCATTGAAACATCATAAAATTTCATTGAGTTTGCAAATGATTATATGAGAAAAGTCTACAAAGTGTTGAAGTGAACTCAAGTAAAAATAATGAATGCTCAGCAATCTCAAGAGAAATGCATAAATAGATGAAGAGACTCAGCTTCAAGCTTTCAATCTAAAGATAAGATCTGGTTAAACTTAGAGAATATGAGAACTAATTATCTATGCAAGAAGCTGAATATGAAATACAATCAATATATCATACTAGAAAAGATAGAATTTCATATTTATTAATTAAATATCTCATCTGACAATTACAATGTTTTTAATGTAAAGCTTCTACATGCTACAGTGACAGATTTTCTGCTTAGTCAGAGGCAAACTGACTAACAGTCACTTACTATAGAGATTTCAGAAGAATCTGAGTTTGAGATTAAGAAAATTCAGAGTGAATGAATCTATTAGAGAAAAAAGCAATACTTCATTAAATGAGTAGATTGAGCTGAGTCTATGTGAAATGATGTAAGTCTTCTACAATAAGTGAAGGCTTTGAATGCTTGAGAGGCCTCTCAGCAGACAAAATTAGATGTAAAAAGAATTTTAAATAGTCATAAAGACCTGCAACAAAGAGGGAGAAGAGAAGTATTATATGAAGTTGAACCTCTAGATTCACTCTGACTGACTGACTTAGCCTAGTCATCATTTGCACATGCACATGTGATCATGCTATATGAGCTTGCTTAAGCTTGAGTTCTCATCTCATTTTTTTCTTCTCTTTCTCAAGCAATTCATTCTTGTTATATAGAAGGACTAGCCTCTAGTTCTTAGAGCTTAATCCTTCACATATAATTAATAAGAAAATATTATACTATCATTATAATAACTTGCAATTTATACAGAATGAAGCAGCTACTCAATATAAAAAAAAACTCTCAAATTAGCAAGAATAAATACTTTTATTATATATAAAAAAGTTTACAGCTCACAATAATATCTATTTTTTAAAAAAATCTAACATTATTAATAGATATTACTATTAATGAACTATTAAAAGAAAAGAAAAAAACTCTATATACTTAAAAACTTCTAAAGATAAATAAGAAGAACTATTTATTGATATACTCAAATAATTCAAAAAGTGAACAAGAATAGTTAAAAGATGATATAATAGTAAAATATTCTAAATCAGATTTAGAATATAAAATACTTTTATAAAATCTAGAAATGAGTATGAATTTTTTAATATTAAATTATTTATAATTTAAAAAACTTTTATAATATCTTAAAAAATAATCTTTTAGAAAGCAAATATTAATAATATTTAAATATTTTCAGATAGTCAAACTGTATTAAAAAAAATTATAAAAATATAAGATTTAAAATAATCAAATTAATTTTGATTTAATTCAAAGAACAGTAAAAAGAATTAAAATTAAGAATAAAAATATTTAGATTTATTTATCTTAAATATTTACTAATATAAATATTCTAAAAAATGAAAAAGTAGATTTAATAGCAAAGATTAAAACTGAAATTTAAAAATATTTCAAAGAATTATATTCTAATTATATATTAAAAGAAATATTAAAAAGTTATATCTTGAGAATTGAATAAATATATAAGAAAAGAAGAAGAAAAGCATTTAATATATAAGATATAAAATAAAATCAAAGTGGAAATCTATATCAATAAGATGTAGAAAAAAAATATTTTCCTTCATAATATAATTAAAACTTAAATATAAATACTTTAAATCATATATGATAAGATTTAAAGTTTTTTTTAAATTTTGATAGATATGATTTCTATAATATAGTTGAAAATTGAGATTATTTATTGAAAAATTACTTTTTAAATAATAAAATAAAAAAGAAATTAAAAGAAAAATACTCAATTAATTAATTAAATATAATCTTTCTATTTAATATTAAATAAAAAAAAAAATTTTTGAATTTATAGAAAAAATAAAAATTACCTTTAAAAAATAAACTTTAATTTTAAATAAATTTAATATTTGATTTATAAAAGTTGAAAATATTTTTAATAATACTTTTATTATTATCAAGATTTCTTTTATACTAATTTATTTTATTTTGTTTTATTTTATTTTATTTTATTATTTTATTAATTTATATTATTATATAAAAAAATATTTATTTTATTTAAGTTAAAAAAAAGACTGAATTAAAATTATAACTATAAATATATTTTATATTAAAAAATTATTAAATACTATATTATTCTAAGATAAAACTTTATAAATATATAAATTTATTACTATTTATTAGTTTGATTAATGAAATAATTAATTTTTAGTTTAATTAGATAAATATTATAGTTACTGACTAAATAGATTTTTAATAAATAAATAAATAAAGAAATAAATAAATAAATAAGTAAATCATAATAATAATAATAATAATAATAATATCTACTAGTACAATAGTATATTTATTTTTAAATTGAGAGATAATATTAAATTCAATAACAGTATCAGAATTAAATTTATTCTCAATATATAACTTTGAGAATTATTTATAATCTGAATAAATTTTTTAAATTTTTTTTCTCATCAAACTTAATATTTTATTATAGAAGTTAATAATATAGAGAGTTATTTTTTATACAGTCTACATTCATTTTCTATTAATATTATAAAATCAATTTTTTTTAAAAAAAATAATTATATTAACTAAAATATTAAATTATAAAAAATCAATTATTTTCTTGCTGCCAGTCAAATTCTATTATAATTATATTAACTTATTAGCATTTAGAACAATACAGACAGAAATAGACATATGAGATTAGCAGGAATTCATTACTTTGCCGGCACATAGGACATAGTCCCTTAGATGATTCTTGCCCAATCCAGGTCAAGAGGCAATGCTGGTGAAAGACATCAGTCTTCTTTAGTGAAAAAGAGAGGTATATCCATAAATATGCATGTGAAATAATTCTGGAATATCATACCATGTGAAAGGAGTGTCCGCATTTTCCGATTACTAGAAGAAGCTCGTCAGAAATCTAGCTGGCAGAGCTAAATGTACATAATGATTGGAATGGTAGGTTTGTCGGATGGTCAACTCACGCAGTGAACAGTCATCCCCGGGAAATTTGCACGTAGGACATGTTCCGTCAAATTGCACGCGACAGATTCCACAAACCTCATCCTCCGGCATATCCCATCTCCATAATGTTACAGCATTCCATTCCTTGAGAGTTACCTTCATCACGACAGAGAAATGAATAAGCGGATCTCAGATCACCCACTGGTGGGGCCGTGGAGGACGACGAATTGCGAAGAGACTCGAAGAAAAGGTTCTCTGAAGTTCTTCCTGTTATTCAGGTCAGACGTTGAGAGTAAAGTAACCTTCCCAATTCAGAAACGAACAAGAGATAAAAAAGCGCGGTGCTACATATATAGTAGTTAGGCCTGCAGACGTGGCATGGAGTTATCCACTTGGGCATACCAGGCTGTTATCCTGCCGTTTCTTATTGTTAACGTAGGGGGAAAATCCGAATCCGGGTCACTAGGTGGTAACCCAGGGGGCATTAAAAAGGATATACCCTTCTGCACATGGACAAAGGAGAGATGCGTAAATATCAGCTGTTTAGCTCCAAGATTGGTGCCCACACAGCCAGTTTATAGGGGTAGTAACTTCTATCTACTTACCGATGTATGTATTTATTTAGAGAGGCACGCACCTTCCCAAATCTCAACAATATGCTGATTAAGCCATTATCATCTGCTGGTGACCACGTGATTAATGTAGTCCAACTACGGTCTCTGCAATAACCAGCAGAATAAACTAACCCGCACTAGTTAACTAGTTACTGCTGGTAACAAGAGACATTTCTTCTCTCACGGTCAAGGTAAGTTAGATTGCCTGGAAAAATTTTTTTTTGCAACATTAAACCATCCAGTCCTCTTGGAAGAGACGTTCCAAAGTCAATAAATATCGCTTTTACTCGCAGCACTTTAGAAACGTCTGAATCCCCTTCTAAACAAAAAGAAGCGCTCTATTTTGCTATGTAAGAGCTCAAAACACTCTCAGCTAACCTTGGAAGAGCCCTCTTTTTCCACCAGAAATGGCTCTTGCGGTTCTACGTTACTCTGGTCACTCTGGCTTCTCATCAAGGATTACCCTCGCCAGGTCTGCCATTATCACTCCCCTTCGTTTTTCACAACACCGTTCAATTTCCCTTTCCTCCTATCTGGTCACCCCGCAGGAGCTCAATGATGCCCTGAAAATAAATGTGAGAACTAAAATTTCCACCTCGCCGCGAGTCATCCCACTCTGTGCTACCTGGTTTATGCCAAACGATCCCACAAAGCGGACGGGCATTGAGGCTTTCAAAAAGTGTCGCATCCCACAGGCTCGATTCTTTGACCTTGACGAAGTGAAGGACCATGATTCTCCATATCCACACATGCTGCCTACTAGGGAGGGCTTCAAGGAAGCTATGCAGTCTCTGGGCATCCGCAGAGATGATGAGCTTGTGGTTTACGACTCAGAGGAGCTTGGACTCTTCAGTGCACCACGAGTGGGCTGGACATTGAGGGTTTTCGGTCACAACAACGTCCATGTGCTCAACAATTTCAAAGTATGGGTTCAGGAAGGTTATCCAACTGAGTCTGGACATGTCGTCCCCGAGGAGAGATCCAACTACGAGGTGGGCGATTTCGCTCCGGAAATGGTTGCTCACTTCGCTGAGATGAAGGAGATTGCCCAGGCTTATGGCAAGGGGGGTTCAGAGGGTATTCAAATTCTTGATGCGAGACCCGAGGGCAGATTCACAGGCAGAGACAAAGAGCCTCGTCCAGGGCTTCCCTCCGGCCATATGCCTGGCTCTACAAGTCTACCGTTCTCCGAGCTGCTTGACCCTGTTACCAAAACATTGCTTCCCGCACCAGAGCTGCGTAAGATATTTGAAGTCAAGGGAATTAATCTGAAGGAACCATCCATCAGCTGTTGTGGAACTGGGGTTACCTCTGCTATCATCGACCTTGCGTTGAAAGAAGCGGCCGAGGGGTCACCTGGAGATAGACGGATATACGATGGAAGCTGGACGTAAGTACACATACGTACATTTCACGTTGCGAACATCTATTTTAACTTTTCCGGACGCTGGGACTTGGGACTTCAAGCTAATGTTTATTGCAGAGAATGGGCTCTAAGAGTGAAAGAGAATAGTGGGCTGATTCAAAAGGGATAGATTTCTCTTTCTCAAAGTAATAATACAAAATGTGAAGATGGATGAATTACAACTATAGCGGACAATAGAAACAGTTTATTATAATGTTATATTTATTTTTTATAAGTGTTATTTTATGAAATTTTTTATTTGTTTGTTTTTTAATTTTAATTTTTTAATTTTTTTGTATTATATATATTAATTTAATTAATTTTAATTTTAATTTAATTTTAATTTGTTTTTTCAGTTTTTAATAAATAAACTGTTATAGTTTTAATTAATTTGAATAAAATGTTGATTTTATTCTTTATTATTAATTATTTTTTATAGTATATGATTTATAATGTTTTTAAATATTATTTATTATCTTTATATATTAAATATTTTTGACAGATAAGATGGATATGATTGATTTGAGCAGGACAGTAGCTAGTCTAGGTGTTGGAGCCTAGGCTTCCTACTATGGAACTAGTGCACCACACAGTAGTACAGCATCGCTACCAATATAACCACTTCAGACGTTCCCACACAAAATCACATCGCTGTCACCTGACCCCTAACATCTCCTGACAAAGCCATGTGCCTCAGCCTTATCTGATTCTCCCTTAGGCGCCAAGCCCATGTACCAATACCCGATATTTCCCTGTTTTCACCCAAAGGATGTTTGTAACGAATACCTGCATCTTCCTCCACTTCTATATTTTCTGCCTACTTGCGACTTCAAACATTCCCGCTTTGGCCCTCAAACATCCTCAACATCAGCATTGCCAGTAGCAGGGCCAAGCGCATCCATTTCCCTCTGGTTTTCTTTTGTCCACTCTCTCTCCTCCCTTATTTCTCAGTTTGGCCTCTTGTCCAGTACTGGATCCTCTCTTCACCTCTCCAGTTGGCTCCTCTTCTTGTTCCCGTGTCAATGAACTCGCTTTTCAACAGTCATTGCTCTTATCACACCTCATATTCATACTTCAAAATTTACCGTCTGGTGTTGAGGCGGGAACAGTGGGAAAGCCCCCTCCTCTTCGTCCCTCCTTCACGTTCTCCACGTTGCAATCCTTCAAGATGGATGTGGCCTTCACTAATTTCCCATTGGGACCTTGCATTTGATTGACTCTTGTTGTTCAGTTACTAATTTTGCATTTTCCTTGTAGCCCCAAATTTTAAGGAAGAACAACCTGGCTGCTGTTTTCGCGTCTCATCTGTTTCCCCCCCCTCTTTTCGGCGGCTCGTCTTTTTATCGCGCGTGTCTCCCGACAATATCCCTCTCATTCAACGATTGCAATCTCGTCACCTCCTATGGACACCATGTTATCTACTATGACACCTCTTCCTCTGCTCTCCATCGACCAGATCACCCTTCCATCCTCTCCTTCTATTTCCTGCGCAAAATCTGCACATAGTAGCCTCTTTCAACAACAGGATTTTGGCCACAAAGAACCTCATCCACATCACCACCACGCTCAACAGGAGCAGCTACTGCAACTCCAGTCCCAGCAGGAACTTCATCAGCCGCTTCAACTTCCGCTGGATTTATCGCATCCACTCCCTTGCCGCGAACTGGAAACGTTTGACGTAGAGATGCAGAATTCCAACATACCGTCCAGCATGCTGTTCAAAAATCTTCCGATCGAGATACATGAAGCGATTCTAGACCATCTTTTTGGCGTCCGAGGCTCCACTCTTGCCTCCCTATCTCCCACCAAATCCACCCCAAATAGTTGGAGCAAAGCCCTACGGCATCCCCGCCGAAAGGCACTCTCGGACCTAGCCCTTGTTTGCTCTCTTTGGCGACCTTTGGTTCAGGAGAGAATCTATCGACATAGTAGGTATCAGCTCTCCTTAATTATTGCTTTATTACTTCCTTTTACTATCCTGGTGCTTACCCTGTTTCCTTTTTGTCATAGTTCAGGTCAAGGGTACCACCGATGGGCTGCTTGAATGCGCTGAGTGGTTTTTGTCACACACACAACTATCTTCCTATGTCCGTCACATTGAAATTTGGGTTCCAGTATGGGGCGACAGGATGCCAAAGGGCCGCGTAAGGCACTATTACCGCCCTCACAATGGAAATGAAGGCTCTCATTTGGCAAACGTCGCGGCAGTCCTTCAAGCGACGGTGGCTACTTTCGAAGACACATCAAGCAACGGCTACACAAGTAATGCCAGCTTCAGATTCGCCAGTCGCAATGCCACGTTGCAACAAATATTCTGCCATGTTGCCTACTTTTTCCCCCACGCACGCATCCTAACCCTCGAAGGCGGCCACTGCAAGAAACCCCCCATGATCAGGCATTTCGACAATGACCCGTGGGGTCAATCCGGCGAAGAGAGTCTGGAGGTGCTCCCCAACATTCAAACGTTTGTGATGAGAGGCGCATGGAATATTATGAGGGACTACCAACACTGGTGTAACCTGGCCAAAGCATTACCCAATCTTCGCGAATGGGATTGTTCCTATGTCAAACGAAAGTTAGAGGCGCATGTTACGATATCCAAAGCCCTTTCCAACTTCCCCAAAACCATTACTCGACTAGACATTAGTTTAGAAGGATTCTACAACAAATCAAGCTCGCATTCGCGCTGGTTTGGTACGGTCTACACTGAACCACATCTGTGCCTATTGTTGGGGGCAATTGCACCCCAACTTGAATCCTTGACCTTTACAGGCAAAGTCTGTGCTGGATTATTCATCCATGCGCGGACAGCAATGTTTAAAAATCCCACAAATTCGAGGCTAAAATCGATTGACCTTGTGGTGAAGTCGTGCTGCCGCGAACAACGGACTCATGATGATGGCTCTCCAATGCTCAATGACCTGTCTGGCATTACCAATATGAATTTCATTAATTCATTCGAGAATCTTATTATTGCTGCTGTCAGGTCGTTGGATGCGTATGTTTCCCTCAGCCATATGCGCATTAGATTCATCGATCTCGACTCCGCTTGTGGACTTCTCAACCCATACTTTCAGCTTGTGGGCAACAATTGCATTGGGCTGTGGAGCGAAAATATCCTTGCAGCACTACATGAGGCACGACCGAACGCAGAGTATGAACTACTCGACGATGGAATACTGCCACAATACGGAATTAACGCTCAAACCGGGACGAGGATATATCCGCGAACCCGACCACTGAGTATAAAGGCAAGCTCATATAAGATTATTGCTGACAAGTCCAAGCTGTGACACATGCAAATCTGCTCTCATTTCCAACAATTTATTCTTGTTTATCCCTCCAGTGTAATTGAGTTTTCTTCCATACTTACCCTACTCATTTTTCATTTAAAGCTTGTCATAGCGTTTCAGTTCTTTGCCAGATACATATCATATCACCTGTTGAATGAAGTTATTATGTTTCTGAAGCCATGGTGCTCAATCATCCTTCACTTCACTCTCAAGCGTGGGGTTGGGGTTGCTATTTCTCAAAAGAGCTATCCTGTGTTTATGGTAATCAAGGGAATAAAAACACCCCTTGTGTACTCAATATTAATTCCGCTCATGTCTGTTGGAGTTGGATCCTCGTAATATCTAGTAAAATCTTTGAAGGCAAGCGCTGAATTCAGGTTAGGTCCACTTAGCGTGATTTCGCAACTCCTAAATTCGTACGACCCAATTTCAAATAGCTGTCCGCTCGAATTCCTGGGCCACTTTCAGTATCATCTACATTCCTCCATTACATGCACGAAAACTTTTTAAGTTTAAGGAGCCAAGTATGCTAATCACTTCCGGACCCTTTCTCCGATACTGAAGTCGCGTGAATCGCCGAAGAACGACCCACATCAGCAACAATAATGCCCAAAATCCAAACATTAACCGCGAAGAAGGTGAGAGATGCGAGAAAGAGACCTGGAGTAAAAGTAGAGATACCTAGAAATTCAAGGTGTAACCCTTGGTGCAGCCAGAGGGCTTGACCAGCAACCCACAGAGCGAGTGCGGTGGTGCCAACAAAGGGCTTCTTGATAAAGGAGGAATAGGGTAGGTAGAGAGGAAGAAAAATCATGTACCAAAGGAAATACTGTGGTAAAATTAGATATTTCTGCACATTTTTTCAAAGTGAAACAAAGGAGCCTGGTACTAACCTGACTCGTGCATACTTTATTGAACGCGACAAATGCAAATGTCTGCGCAAGCATAGTCCCCGCCAGGTCTTTCTTTGCCAGAACAAGCGGGATAAGCACGGCTGAAAGAGAAAGCTGCGGGATAAACGCCAATGACTCCAAGTTGCTCCTTAGCGATGCGTCTTGCACAGTTGGTGAGGAAGAGAGGTACAGGAGAATGTTATACGGGGAGAAATTATGACGATGGTCGACACGGGTGGCATGATGCAGGTAGGTATGTTGAATGAATGGGAGGCCATATATTAAATACATGGTGATATTGAGAACTGAAAAGACGGCCAGCGAGGTGAACGTAAGAAGGATTTGCGATGGATTGACGAAGGACCGCAGGCAAGTGGTAATGGAGAGAAACGAAATCTTTGATGTGTCCTCTTTATGCCATTTGCCATCGCCCAACAACCAGATGATTGACGGAGCGTAGATAAAGGGGTAGATCTTAAAGTGAACTCCAAGGCCCAGGAGTGCGCCAGCGAGCCCAATCCTCCTTTCCAGGACAGCCCATACAAGCGCAATAACCATAACACCCAACAGGCTCTCTGAGCTGCCCCTCGTGCTAATCGTGGCAACCATGGGATTAAGCAACCAGATGCTGGTGTACTTGAGCGCACGGGGCATGTCCATATGAAGATATCGCTGCTGGCAGAGGACGCGCACAATCAACCAACCGGCTGCAATGTCGGCAAGTGCAAAAAGGACTTTGCCGAACGAAAACCAGAAACCACCAAACCAGGCTGTGGGCACAAGAAGCCACGCCAGCAACGGAGTATAGCGGTATGTGGCTCGTTCATAGGGGGACCGTCCGTGCGAGACGAACTTGGCAGCGTCAGTGAAAACGAAGTAGTCGATATCTGTGTATTTGACCGGGGAATGGGCATCCTGGTAGAGACCGTAGAAGAGAAGAATCACGCGGAGAAGGATGGCGGCCGAAAACACCAGGGTGGGTGATTTAAATAGGGACGGCATGAAGAAGGTGTGCCCCGCAACATGCAGGGAAATGAGTAGTAGTTTCAAATAATTTAAAATTGAGATGATAAAAAGATCAAGTCAAAGAAAGAATAGGAAGAAGTTGTAAGAGAATTTGCTACTGAGTGAGAATGAACACAAACAAGAACCTTGGCATTGTCAATACATTTCTGTCCTCTGAGCATCAGTATCTTTTTCTTCATTTAGGGATGTGAGTTTTGCAGTGGTCTGGCTTTCGGCTCAGCAGGGCCAAAATGCAATTCAAAGGTTGGAGAAGAGGTAAGTTAAAAATCAACATCTAATAAATAACGCCGGTTGGATGGGATGATGCGGATGACAAATGATGTTGTTTGAGAGCGTGCGTTGTAGCTGCGCTAGTCCCCTTTAAGGAACCTCAATAGTTTAGTTGACTTAACTGATACATTACCATCCGGCGCCTGACTGACTTCAGCTCTGAGTTGATAAGTGTTTTCTCTTCAGCAAATCATCTTATTATAAATTATATAACTAAATTATCACTTTTTACCAAACGAGAATAATGTTAAATTTTATGTCTTTCAAAAAAGAAATCACTAAGTTGACTTTATAATGTTTATTAAATCTCTGTAGATTTATTTACCTTGTTGTTTATAGCTATGAATCATCTGATTTTATCCCTATTTTCTTTATATAATACTATATATAACTTATGCCAGCAAAATCCACATACGATAATCAATGTTGAGACATGTTTTGGATCAGATAATAATTCTGAAATTCAGAAGAATGGAAGAAAAAAAAATATCAAATATCTAAAAATCGTCAGTTTTGAGGTGGTTTATGGAAAATGAAGAAGAGAACGAACTGCAAGCCATAGTCACTTAGTTCATTTGACTCCAATCTCATTGGCTAGCTCAAGTAGTTAGCTAACTATCCTTTGGAGAACTGTCGGTGAACCCCCGCTGTTTCGGCCGTCCGCCGTAAGAACCGAGCTCAACTAGAAGTGTTAGTTAACTAAAGTTTTGCCGAAAATCCTCATCTCAGCAGCTCCGTGTTGAAAATTGCACCACCACTATATCTCTTGAAGCTTCGTTGATGTTTATAAGTGCTTTTATCTACCGCTTTCTATTGTCTTGCATAACCTAACTACATACAAACACCTATCGTCTGCTCATTGAAAATGTCTCCACACTGTTCCATCTCAATCTCAACAACGCTGAATGTTTAGCAAAGTAGTAAGTTAATGCCGAAATCCTAGCGCTCGGCTCTCTTCATTCTCACTCCCGACACATTATCTGTCTATTTCAATTGCAATAATGCCGGCAGCCAATAAAGGTGCTTGCCGGAATTCCAAATGGGCGAAAGGTCTATACCTAAGTGGATGCTATTTTCTCCAGGCACAGCGCATACTTTGCGAGGCATTTTTGCATTTATCGAATAACGCGGATGCTTGGGCATGTCGCATAGTTACAAGTATATATGCCCTGCTATATATATTTCCTATGTATGTACACAATTACACCATAGGATTCGACCGGACGGATATTGTTCCCTCACATACCGGGGACCATGTCCTACCCCTTTCCCCGTTCTTCTCGAAATTGCTTCGACATGCGCATCGTAAATCGCAGCGAATTGCTATAAGGGATGTCAATCTCAGAATCGAAAAATCATATATAGAATTTCTCAGTGACGTTCTTGCAGTTCGGAAAGCTCTTCGGTTGAGCCTGTCACCAGAAACCCAGTGGCCATTGAGACGTGGTGAAGATAAATACATTGCTCTTATCGCCACTGGCGGGTACGAGTATGCTGTGGGCTTTGTTGCGATATGTGCTCTTGGAGCTGCGGTAGTGCCAATAAGTTCGCAGATAGTTTATTAACTAGTTATATTTTTTACCAAGCAAGTGAGAATCCCGGACTGACTGAAATGTCTACAGCCGTTCTACTCCCAGTCAAAGAAGCATCTTATTTTGTGCTCAAAGCTAAATGCGCCGCCATTCTATATTCTTCCGACGGGGGGAAGTTGGCAGACCCTTTAGCTGCTCATCTTGAAAAGACTACGTCGGAAAATATTGGCTGCATTCATATTGCGAGACACTTTAGGACATGCCCATTGCCGCAAGGTGATATCGTTCTTTCGTCTGATAAGTATCTTGACGACAATGGGCCTGGGGTGGTTGTTTTCACCTCGGGAACAACGGGGCCTCCAAAAGGTGCTGTGATGAGGAGAGCATATCTGCATGATACCTCAGCAGCTGTTGCTGACCATTTTGGCGTCACCGAGAAAGATGTGATTCTGCATATTCTCCCAGTCCACCATGCAACTGGAATCGATATTAACTTCCTCCCTTACATCTACTCAGGTGCCTGCGTTGAATTTAGGAGTGGCAGTTTCGACGTGGTTTGGATGTGGGAGCGCTGGAAGAAAGGCGGCTTGCATATATTCTCTGGATACCAACTATCTACATGAGAATGATGCGATATTTTGAACGAACCATTGACCCTCTACCACCTCACGAGGTGTACCAGTATATTGCAGGTGCTCGGCAATTCCGCGCATTGCTTTGTGGAACGTCTGCGCTCCCAACTCCAGTTCAGGAATTTTGGACAAAGATACTCGGTGGCAGGACCATTTTGTCAAGATATGGCGCTTCTGGAATTGGCCCGGTGTATACCCCTTCTGTCGAGTCCGATCCTGTTCCTTCTGGAAGTGTGCGGTCGGTGTTCCCTGGAACTACCGTGAAACTTTCCGATGGAGAAGAGGGAGAAATGTTAATAAAGGGGCCGTACATGTTTTCAAAGTACGAACCTTATTTCCCTACGCGGTGGCGTTTTTACGACCTGGATATTCAGGTGAGTATATCGATGTAGGATCTAATCAAGCCACGGCACTTGAACAGGTACCTTTACGACGAAGTCGCTACTGCTGAAGCCCACGATACAGACGGTTTCTACAAAACCGGAGACGTGGCTCGTCGTGAAGGAAACTGTTACTTCATCCTCGGCCGCGCCTCTCTCGATATCCTCAAATCTGGCGGCTACAAAATTTCTGCACTGGATATTGAGCGCAAGATTCTCGGCCTCCCGTATGTTTCCGAGGTAATGGTTGTTGGTGTTGCTGACGATGAATTCGGCCAGCGAGTCGCTGCCGTGGTCAGCCTGCGAGATGATCAGACAATGTACAGATGTGCGGAAAATGGATGGGTAGGGAAAGATTTTACTTTGGATGTTTTGCGTGGAGACCTAAGAAAGAATCTGGCGGCGTATAAGATTCCAACATTGCTTAGAGTGGTCGAGGGCGAGCTGCCTAAGAGCGGGACAGGGAAGATTGTGAAAAAGGTGCTTAGCCCCAAATTCTTTCCAGCGGATTATCACAGGGAATTTGAGGTGCAGGTATGGGATTCCAATAAAAAGGCGAAAAAGGTTGACTCGCAACTATGAATGAATTTCAGAATAGCTACAATTATATTGTCACGGTTGGCTTTCCAATTTTCTTTGATATATATATTTGGTGGAGAACTTAGGTCCTGCTTTTTAATAGCAAAATCCCCATGGTCATTGCTTCACACTAATCGTGCCCCGCGCACCCACACCTGATGTGGGTGCGCCACAGCGTAATGATAAAAACAGCATAATGATAAAAATATGGATAATTAGAACTTCAAAAATTAATATCTCATCACCATGCTGCTAATCTATGATAATTAATTTATCTATATCATCTGTAGTAGCTGTATTATTCATGAGATGTTTATATATATTATTAACCTCTTGTTGAGTTGAATCTGTGGCATTTTTCTTCAAAGCTCTCTCAACATATTTGACTTTCTTATAATGTTCTTTTTCTGCTTCCTTCTCTTTAGATTATGTGATCTTTCTATTTGCATCTCTGACAGTGAGTATACCTTCTACTTGAATCTGCTGATGTGTATTTTTAGTGCTGTGATGTTTGATTGCAAGATAGTAATTCTCAATCTCACTTTCTTTTATAGCATTGAGTTTTATCTGAATAAAACTGCCTTGGAAAATCTTGTTCAATCAATTGCTCAGATGAGGTGATTTGAAATCAAGTATATCCTTCATATCTTGCATTGTCTTCTTTGTCATTCAAATATGATGTTGTAACTTCTCAATTGTCTTGAGTGAGAATAGCTTTGATAAAGCAGTATCTAAACAGCTTGATTGCAGCAAAAAGAAGTCTTTTTTGTATATTTGCAACTCAAAGTAGTCAGAGACCTTTGAATCTAGCTTAAGCAGTATAGATTATGAGTTGAATATGACAATGTCATGATTTATGAAGTCAGTCTAAATAGTAGAAGATGGAAAAGTCTTTTTGTAGACATTAACTAGATTTTGTAGAAATTAATATTTTTCATACTGCTCATATTCATATCACACAGCTTGATTAACTGTCTTTGAATAATAGTGCTTATACTGCTAAAAAGAAACACTATTTAGAGATTGCAATATATGAGTTGAATGTGAAGAAAATTCATATAGAATAATCTTGTGAAGATTCAGTATTGTAGAAATTCTTCAATGAGATAAGATTTATGATTGTTCAAAAGCAGCAATCAATGACTGTCTTGATAATATTTTTCAGAGACTTCATTAAAGTACTGAATTTATACAAAGTCAATCTCATCATTGATACAGTCAGTATCTGATGTTGTGATTGTATATTCATCTGATAGATTACTTTGTGTATATCAATCTTCAAATTGAGTTTTAAATTTCATAATGATAAAGAAATTCAATACCTCATTATCTGATAAAATATACTCAATCACAGTGATCAATTCTCAAGAATATGATGAAGTTATAACTGAATTAAAGTCTTTAAAAGCATTAATAACTCATTCTCCACATTCTTGACTCTCTTGAAAGTCAATCTCATCAAAGTTGTAGATATTGCAGGTTTGAAATATGTACTTTTGAAGTAAGATTTTCAAATGATCAAATCACATCTTAATGTAGCTAATATTCTCAACAGCAATTCTTCTCAGATTCATTGTCTTCTGCTTAACCCTTTTATATCTATCTAAGCTTTGTATATATCAATAGGTCTACATCTTGCTGACCATGGGTAAAGAGATTGAAGGATCAGTATGATGATGTTTGAGAATAAGATTTACATTATCTTGAATCTGCTCTGCAGTCAGTGAGCAATTATTTCTGTCCATATAAGCTATTCACTCTTTTAACATGTCCTCCTGGCTCTTGCTAAGCTTCTTGTTTGATGTAGTCTTTGCATTGTGTGTTTTTCTTCCATTGATTCTTGCTTGAAGATGTTGATAAGAAATGTTGAATTTGCATACCAGAGGTAGAATTTTCTGTTTTCAATTGTCATTATAGACTTCAATGGCACTCTGAATACATTTTTCAAGATCATCTATCTTATTGGTCATGGTGGTGGTGATATATTAATATTTGAAGATTGATTAATGAAGAAGTTGATATTTTTATTGTTATGCTGTTTTTATCATTACGCTGTGGCGCACCCACACGAGGTGTGGGTGCACGGAGGCACGATTAATAGCTAACTTTTCATATCTTGAACTTAGCTGCCCTACTCGTTTCTCGACTATGCACATAGCTGATCCTTTGAAACTTCTCAATAGCGTCTCCCCAGAGTTCAGTGCGTAGAACACCATATACACTATTTATCCACCCATCCAATAAGCAATTCTTCGAACTGAATAAAAAAAAATAGGAAGAAAAGTAAAAGAGAAAAATGTGAAAGAAACAAGGAAGAAGATTTTAGCCTGTCTGGGAGAAGGGTCAAGAGGAAGAGGAACGGCAAGGAAAAGAAAAGAAAAGCAAAGACTTACCCCATTTTTGCCTTCGGAGCCCACTTCTCCGCGAGCTCCATTGCAACATCCATCATTCGTTCCGGTTCAGCAATGGCATCAACAATACCATCCGCAAGGGCTTCCATTCCTGTCCACTTGTGAGCCTCAAGTAACATTTTGCGGGCAACCCGTGGAGCGAGTTTAAGGCGAGGAAGAGACCCGATGCCGTCAAAATGAAGGCCTAGATTCACAGGCGGCATGGATATGAAGCCACGGGAAGAATTCATAATTCGGTAATCATGGCTCAGGGCGAAAGGGCAGGCACCTCCGAAAGTGTGACCAGTGAGTAGAGCGATTGTGGGATACGGGAAGTCGAGAATTGTGTGCAGCATCTGGGTGTGTTGGTTGTTAGACCGGAAAGAATTGTGTAATTGAAGGGTTCCGGGGGGAAATAATTAAAGTACAATATAATGGAAAATAGCTTCCTCATAGGAAATAGGAACTACGAAATTAATGTAAGGACAAAATTACCGGATAGAAGCCATCAGTGTTGGCAAAAGGATTGGTATCCCCTTCATCGAGTTCAAGTCCCTACACATGTCGATTTTATCTAATAAGAACAGCGATGAAAAACTGTTTATATCTGCGACAACGACATACCGTGCACCAGAATTTGGCATCGTTCCCTCTTGTGATTATGGCACCTTCAGCGTCAGGCCCGAGTATGCGTTGCACAGTGTGAAACGCCCTGATGATTTCCTGACAATACCATGAACTCAGTCTGTTTTCGGGTGCTTTCTGCATAGTAATGACGAAAACATTGCCATTTCTGGTGAGAGACAGATTGCGAAACTTTGATATCTCGAACATTATGGGCTTTGGCTATGACGTGTATACTGATGGCGGGCAGCAGCGTTCACTGCGAGGGCATGAGTATCCACGGGATGGTACGTATATTTAAGAGTATGCAGTTAGAGAAGTGGAAGTTGCATTGCGCGTGTTAAGGGAGGTGTGGCAGCAAAGAGTAATAGCATTAACCGAGTTGACGGCTGGTTCCCACACTTCTCCGCATCTTGGACCGTGGGTACACAGAAGTTCACTACGTAACTAATGCCGGCTAGACTAAGACAAGAGCAGAGGGAATTTCCCAAAGTACCGAAATACCGATCTAACTTGCCGTAGTCAGGGGCGGAAACCATTGAACCGATAATAACATCCCCATAACATCATCATAAAAAAATTAATGAGAGGTGTGTGGAGAGGGGGACATCGCGGCCAGTGAATTAGTAAGGCAGGCAACCTTCAACTTCGGGCATTACTTGCACCGAGGTAGTGCGCTGAGTCACCAGGCAATGTCGCTATTCCAGTCCCAATCCTTCAGAAGCCAGTTGCCAATTCCTTCGTACTGCGCACAAAGAATATCGTCAGTGATGTCTGCAGTATCACCTCCTGCTGCTATATGTATGGGTGGGTGTTCTAAGACAGTTGCAAGTGGTAAATATCCGTCCAAAGCTGCAGGAGTACTTATTGGCGTTTTCAACTCCGCTAGAATACCGGCTGTCATCATATCAGAAGCAGTTCTGGAGCGTTGATTGTCATCGGCTCTTCGTGGGCCTAAGAGGCCCTGTATGTGGGGGGCTAATATGGCTTCTCCAAGCCGGCACAAATCTGTACCAAAGCCACTGAAGCATGTCATCTGCTCTGAAGTAAGGCTACCAAGCGGATGTGAATCCTTGTGTCTTGGGGCTTTGCTTGCTTCCTCCTTCATGGCCCACAGAGCGTTTAAACTGCCAATTGCAGAAGGCCATCTTTTTGAGAGTTCTTTCTGTGAATTGTAAATTATACGGAGATCATACTCAGCCTTGACCCATAGATGAGGATATCGATAGCACGACAAAAGTCCTACTCCCGACGCCAAAAGATAAAAGGTGAAGATAGGCCCTAGGAAACGAATTTCATCACGGGCTAGAAAGTCTTCAAAAATTCCTGCAACGAAGGACGACGCGAGAACGGCTGCCGCAGAGGGTGTGCTTGCAGGTGGAGACGACCGAAATAGAATGGCGAGAATTATAAAGTATAATATGTGTAACTGGCGGGCCTCGAAGCTATACGGCGCCAGCGCTAACTTCGAAGAGGAGCCATCGTGCGAGCTGGTACGCCGGAAGAGATGCAGGTGGTTCGGCAGCTCTCGTGTCCAACGATAGAGCGCTCCCTCGATATACTGGCGTTTTTGGCGCGAAAGATACTTGCGGCAGCAGCATTGAGTTAGATCGCCCAGTAAGGAAGCCAATTCTACGTATGAAATAAACATAGGGCCATCTGCCGTCGACCCGTAGAAGTCTTCGTGCGAGAGTAGTCTGACATCGGAGTCGTCAGGGTTAATGGCACGGGGTCGTCCATGGCCTGCGGAAATCAAGCAATCTCTTGCCTGAAAATGATCAGGTTAGCGGCAGGATTCCAACAGGCAGTTAAGAAAGTAATTCTTAAAAATTTTTGCCAAAAACATTGAACAATATATTAGACTCCCTGTGAAGAAAAAAGAGATGAGGGAATTACTACAAATAAAGTCCACCACAACCTTCGACGAAGTGCAGCATCTCGCCCTGCTGGTGGTTCTTTATGAAGTCCAATCTGATAGGCTAGACCAAC